TAAAAGAACAAAAAAAGTTGAAAGAAATAAATTATTTAATGTTAATTTGCTTTAAATAAGACTAATATTGACAATATTTTTTTAAATTTATGAATTAAAGCACAAAACGACATTTAAAAAGAATAGGATAGAGTGTTATTTGTAATAATTAATATCATTTCATGCTACTGTGGATTTGGGAAGCCACATAAAGTTCCAATAATGATGCGAAGTTAAGGATGTGTTTGTAAAAGAAATAATTTGAGAGAATTAACTTAAAATGAATTTTTTTAGTTAACTAAGGCTAATTTAGAAAATGTGGTAGAGTTAGTGAAATTTTGAGTTTATATTAAAATAATAATTAAAATAAAATAAAAATTAGTTTAATGTAAAAGTATGAGAGAGATGATATGAAGTGATCGTTAGTTAAAATTATGTGAATGTGTGGATAATGAATTAAAATAGATACACTATGCAAAAATAACTGGTTGTTATTATTTAATGACTGATTGTTATTATCTAATGACTGATTATTATTATTTAATTATATTGATAATATTGATGATAATAAATTTGAGTTAGATTTTGGGTATCATTTAATTTGGTTTGAGATTTTTTCTTTTTTTGGCAAACATAGCCTAAATGAGTAGAAGACATGTTCTCTAATTGGAATAGGTAACTGAAAATGAAGTTTGATAAATTACTAGTGTGTGTCCCGCAGGATGCACGAGAAACAATATTACAATTGTGTTATAAATAAAATATAAAAATAAATTAATCAAGAGTTACCCATCATTTTTAAATTAAACCGTGTTGGATACAGTCCGATCGGATGGACCGGGAACCGGTTTATAATCAGTCTAGTTCACTTGAATAAAATATTTGTTATTGAATCCGTCAACACCAGTCGGTTGAACTGGTAGGATCGATATGATTTTCTAAATAAATTTTGCTATATTTAAAATTACGATAAATAAAATTACATATTTAAATAAAATACAGATTTATAAATTGTTTATCAATTAATTTAAACATTTGAATTTTTAAATTATTCTGATATTTAAGTAACACATTTTATTCAAATTTATTATAAAAAGTACTACATATATATGTATATTAAGGCGTATTTTTTAAGAAAAAAAATAAAATTTTATGATTTTTATAAACTAAATTGTATGATTATATTAAAGCGTATTTAAAAATTAAATTATATGGTTTTTAAAGAAAAAAATAAGAAAAGTAATAAAACTACTATTTATAGGTTGTATTAAATACTGCCCTATTTTTTTGCTACTAATTTTAGTAAATAGGATAACTGTTTATATAAGTATAGAATATTTATATACACATCTATACATAAAAAAAATAAAATAAAATTTAAATAAAAATGGATACAAAACTAATTTAATATATAAATATTTAATTTCAATTAAATTTATTTTGGCAATGATGATGAGAGACGTGTGATAAAAGTGATTGAGCATGTGACGAGGTGTATATGGGTGGGTGGCCACAAAGTTGTTGACGAACACAAAAACTGTTGAGAAATCAAAATCTGAAAAAAGAAAAAAAAAAAAAATGGGCCCCACGTGGACCAAGTTCACGCGCAGGTCACGTGGGGGGGTGGGGGGAAGGAGCCTCGTACAGACCAAAGGCGGGGGTTGTTGTCGGATAAATTTACGGAATCTGAGATAATTCATGATTCTAGTATTTGGGGAGTTTAATAATTTGAGTGAAGGAGGGGGGACACGTGGGACAGCTAGCATGCCACAACTGTGTGCACAATCATCACCCGACATCTTGTCGGGTCCTTTAATTTTATTGCACTCTCCTTGTGTACAGTAATAATTCATCATCACAGTTTTTTTTTTTTGAAACGATAAAATTCTCATTCTCGTATATAATTTACGGATGCGCTGAGCCGACGTGGCTGTTTCTGGTGCTTTGGAATTCTACTTGGCGAAGAATCATGCTTCGTAAGTAAGTTTGGACAAATAATATTGATGTATAAATAATAATCTAGGTTGGGACATTCTATAAATATTATTCAGCTAACTTATGTATTTTAATATCACTTGTACTAATATAACCTTTTAATTCTTTGTAATTTTACATAGTGAGGTACTAAGTGACTAATATATGTCTGACTTTTGATTTGTTTCATTTAATTAGCTATTGAATTATAAATGTATTTAAAAGTTGATAACTTTTGAGGGAGAGCTTTGCTGCCCTTGTGGTCCTACCCGGCTCGATTCCGGATTAGTCGGTTCCCCTGTGGATCTGGAAACCGGAAGGTCCCTGTACCAAAAAAAAAAA